ATTTATTTATTTACTTTATTCTTTGATCTTTTCTTTTTGCTTCTTATATAATTATATATAGTATTATTTTAATTGTAATTAATTAGGCCCTTTATTCTGAAAAGCCTTATAGAGGACGAATAAAGTATGTATGTATGTATTATTACCACCCCTCCCCTAATCATGCTCTACTATATCTTTCCTCCCATGTTCATGGTATTATTACCACACCTCCCCTAATCACGATCTACTATACCACCCCTCCCATGTTCATGGTATTATTACCACACCTCCCCTAATCATGATCTACTATATAACCCCTCCCATGTTCATGGTATTATTACCACCCCTCCCCTAATCATGATCAACTATACCATCCCTCCCATGCTCATGGTATTATTACCACACCTCCCCTAGTCATGATCTACTATACCACCCCTCCCGTGTTCATGGTATTATTGCCATCCCTCCTCTAATCATGATCTACTATACCACCCCTCCCATGTTCATGGTATTATTACCATCCCTCCCCCTAATCATGATCTACTATACCACCCCTCCCATGTTCATGGTATTATTACCACCCCTCCTCTAATCATGATCTACTATACCACCCCTCCCATGTTCATGGTATTATTACCACCTCTTCCCTAATCATGATCTACTATACCACCCCTCCCATGTTCNCCCTAATCATGATCTACTATACCACCCCTCCCATGTTCATGGTATTATTACCACCTCCCCCTAATCATGATCAACTATATCATCCCTCCCATGTTCATGGTATTATTACCACCCCTCCCCTAATCATGATCTACTATACCACCCCTCATGATGTTGATATTATCATTCCACCCCTCCYCTAATCATGATCTACTATACCAGACACCCCTCCCATGTTCATGGTATTATTACCACTCCTTACCTAATCATAATCTACTATACCACCTCTACCATGTTCATGGTATTATTACCATCCCTCCCCTAATCATGATCAACTATACCACCCCTCCCATGTTCATGGTATTATTACCACCCCTTACCTAATCATGATCTACTATACCACCCCTCTGATGTCGATATTATCATTTCCACCCCTCGCCTAATCATATAAAGACATACATGTTGACCAAAGAAACATAGGCTGTGTTTTCACTAGGACAATTTAAACTAGCTTAAATATAACACCGGAAATAAGGCAAAGTTAAACTACCTAGCAAGATGGTTTAAGTTGTCCTACCAAATAAATGGGCCAATCACAGTGTTATTCTTGAAAGRTTGTTGTCGGATTAAAACACCTCCAGGAATTTTAGGCAAGTTAACATTTCTAGTGAAAACACACAGCCATAAATGGTTCATATTATTCAATTCATATCATACTCAATGGCATACAGTACATCAAAAAAACTTACCTAACAATAATGTGGAATGAAGTACTTGATAAAGCAACCAGAAAACCAACGAATAGCTCATCCACCAAGACATGGTGCCTTGAGGAACGCCTAACCACAAACTGAACTGAATAAATGAATAAATGCAATAAATGAATTCTTTGTTATTTAGGTGAGTCAAGCTGTGAATAAATTGGTGGAGAAATGACGCAAATAAATTCAAAAACTAGTTTTATTGATGTCACTACCTGCATGACACCTAAACCGATGTTTCTGCGTTTTGTTAAGCTAAAAATCATAAATAACTAGTTCTTGTTTTTTCTAGTAGTTCTTGCAATTCCCCTCTCTACTCTACAATTGTTTGTAAACACATAAAAATATTTTGTCCTTAGAAAGTTATATCAACCTATAATGGCGTATTATCATAAGTAATAATAATCTTATCTCGGGTTAATTAAAAAGACCTAACAACGCTTTACCACCAACTGATGTCATTTCCATATTAATACCATAGAGAACAAATTAATCCCTGAAATTTGAAGGCGAATGTGAAAGTTTACTGTTGCCATGGTGATGTGGTTCTTTCCTCTTTCAAAACAAAATGTCGTCAAGCTGGTGGAGACTGGGAAGACGATTACTTCTATTCTTGGTTTTCACGTACGTAATCGAAAGTTTTCTCAGGACTTATATAAACCAAAGCTTCCATAGTCCGAAAGAACAACCAGAACTGTCTATCCCAGTCAAAGTTCTACTAAAAAAAGTATTAGACACGAAGATACCAATCGTCCACTAATTTAAAACGTATCATATCAATTGAGCTTGCTTAAAATTGCATGATAAACTGTTTGACAGTATTTGACTCGCAATAAATACGAAAACCAAACATCGATAAAGCAATTTTTTTAGTGGTAAGACTTTTCTTATATCGGTATAAACAAATTTATTCGACAAAAAGTTTCGTAAAGTAAATACTTTGGAATGTATTTTCAGTTGAAGTCACGTGAAATCCAAGAATAGCCTAAAAAGTCAACATAGAATAGAAAACGAAAAAAAAAACATCAATGATGGTGGAAAGCATTTCAAAACTGGTGTGACGAGCAACAAAGTGAGAAAATCATCTCGGAACTACGAACCAGCCGAGCTAGAGGAATTTTTGTTTCTGGTTTGCAAGCATTTCCAATTGATTCAAAAAAACAAAAATATGTCGGCCTGTAGAATAGGCTCAAATTTTCATAAGACGGCCGCGCGCACTCTTGTCAGATTGCCCCACCCTTTTTCATTGATAAATTATGAACAAAATCACCAAGATCTTTGGGTAAGCTTCTTGCCGTCTTTCTCTGTTTTTCGAAAACCCTCTTCGAAACAGGTGCAAAAAATATTGCCAAAATGAATAATCAGTTCAAAACGTCTAGAAATATTTTCTAGGGGCGTATTTAGCGCAGAGGGTGGTCAGTGGC